AAAATAAATAAATAATTATCAATGTTTTCAGTGATAAATAAAAATTAAGATAATGTGTTAATCTAAGTAATTTTCGTTTTATCAAATGTTTATAAAATTATTTCCATATTCAGCTATGATCTATTAACATGTATAATTAAAAAATCCGCAATGCGTCATGAATAATGCAGCTAGATAAGACAACTTCGTCGCAATGCTGATGTCTGTAGGAATGAAGAATTTAGCTTGCACCGTCAAGTTTATAAGCTCACGTAAAATTACGAGTCTCCTTACGTCTGTATTCAAAGTTCTCTATTTTTTAGTTTAACAATTTAAACAATACACATTTTAATTTCTAGTTATCAATATGACCTATTAAATATATTTTACAAAGGAACGTTTATAACAATCTTTTTTCTTAATTTCCACGAAGGATTTTTTTTAGATTTCGACGAGATTGTTTTTTAATTTATTGTAGAAAAGACTTAAATAAAAGACTGTATTCTACTTTGTATATATGCAAGCCTATAAAATAGTTTTCCAATAGTTAATTCTTTATTATATTTGACTCTATATTCGATTTTGTGGAAATTACATAAAGCCTGTTATGTAAGATAGTACAATTACATGTACACGAGAAAATTTTATAATCACACATACAAAGTTTCGATAGTCGAAGGAGAGTAAATCCACAAGTATAAAGACACAGGTGTGAATTTTTTTTCTTCGCCGTGATTTAACCGGCGCAAAAAACCGAAACCGATAAAAAAACGTAATTAAAACCGTAATTAAAACCAGGAACATTACGCAAGTGGAATTAAGGATGGCAAACAAACCGCGATTATTAGCACTCGATGCTTTCCGGATGGTGCTATTTTATGAACGCAGAACGTGGCTGATTAATTATTTACAATACATGACCGTCTTCTCGTCTCCGTTGCATACATCTTCCATGTTTTCCTGTTGCAAATTTTTTTGTTTTTACTTAATCATAGTCGCGAACGCGAGTTTATTTTAATCTCGAGCTCAAAACCGGGACAACGAGATTAACAAGCGTTTACGATGAGAAAATAATTGGGGCCGGTTTTAACGACCTTTTATTTTTATACAGTACTCGAAAGCTCACATTCATATTAACATGTGGATTCAAAACCTTGAAATTAAATGGGATAAATGTAAAATAGGGCGTTAATAATGCTTGTTCATTACTCTCTATGTTCACGTGAAACACGTTTCGTGTTAAACCCAGGATTAAGAAGATTGGTTTTAATTACCCTCGGAGTAATTCAAAAAGCTGAGTGCCAACCGTAATTTTCCTATGTCCGTGTTACATAGTTGACTAATTATTAAGTCCATTCTATAATTGTGTAAGCGTAGTTGTAACTATAGTTGTAAGAATTAACCAATTATAGTCGAATATTCTCCTCATGTTCGACTGTGATTGGTCAATTCTTGCAACTACAATCACTTACAAGTTACAACTACACTGTTAAATTTAGAAAGTTAAATTATATTCAATTTGAATTATTTTTAATCATTTCTGTAGGTCGCCACTGCTGTTATTAATATGCTGTTAATTTAACTTAAAACAATGGAGTTAAACAATTCAACTCTAAAATGTATTAAATTTTAATTAAGTTTAGTTTATTATTCATCAAGTGCATACATTAATATGGACGTTGTTTACTTTGAAACTAACCACAGAAATGGATCAATTTTTTATATCCATGGAAGTTAAAAATAAAATTTTATTTAACTCAAGGGATCGAGTTACCGTTGCTTCTGCGAATCTAACAATGTACGCCTACACAATTGTATAGAATGAACTTAACATTGCAGTTTCGCGGAACATGATAAATCACGCGAGCAAAAAAAGGTCAAATAATTCATATGAATTTAAATAAAAAAAACGAAAGAAAAATATCTATCGTTTATTGTTGCATTGAAATTCCCTTAATAAATGTTTACGAAGATTTATTATACTTTTTATAAATCTCTACGGAAATTTATCAAGTCCGATAATGGAACTTTCGACAACACTTGGAGAGTTAATGTTAAATCGAGCGCTCTCTCAATATTTCATAGATTATGATCTAGAGCAGCGGTCAATTACAGTTGGAGCACGTGACTCGCGATAGACTCGCAGTCAACTTCGCGGCTATTATCGCGGCACGGTCGCCGTGACGGCGAGCGGCGTGGGCGAAAGTTGGCGCGCGCGAGATCGATCGTCGCGTTAAAATCGCGAGGAGGTCGACTCTCGCCTCCACGATCACCGGTGCACGCTTTTTTTCCCTCCCCTCGCCCTCTCGCCGCCCATCCCTTCAAAGACTCCGCCCTCGCAACTGCGCGGTTAGGATCGCGTGTGCATGTTTCTGTAAGTTCTGTTTGCCGGTTTACGGGCGTTGCAGTGCGGGCTCCGAAACGAGGCTCTCTCAAAGAGCCATTTTAGGTTAGGATCCACCGAAGTCACTCCGCGGCGATTTTAAATCGATAACGCGTATATATAGGATCACTTCGTCTGCTCAGCAGCTCTCACGCTTCACGTTTTCTATTGTCGAGAATAAACTCGACTCGTGCATAAATGCGTTTAGACTTTGAAAAAGGTAGAGAATAACAGTCGTAATGGGACGCAGAAAATATACTTGAGCGGAAACGACGAGAACCTGACGGGAAATTGTTAACACGATCGTAACTGATCGTAACTTGCGCCGAGTTCAAAATCGCGACACCGCATAAACGCGCGGAAGTGCGATCGGCCGTCTCGACTCGTGTAAATGACGGAGGACGAACGCGGTGTGGCAGCTTTTCACGACATTCACGACGGTCGAGTTGTCGTCGCCGCGACTCTACCGATTTCGATCTTTGCATGTCACGAGAACGGGATTAGAGAAACGGCAAAACACGCCCGTGCGCGGTGCAACGCAACTTCCGGGTTTACTCGCGAGGAAAAAGATGAGGAAAAACGCGCACTCACATGGTGGGATTCCTCCGGACGGTGTTCTCGATGTCACGGAGAATCTTCTCGGCGGCCGGGAACTCGTTGTCCACCATCGTGTGAGCCGCATCACATCTCCCTCGTGGACGTATCAATCGACGGCGGACGCGCCAGTGTGACACACCATCCTTCGCGTCCTTTCCTTCTCGCTTCCACCCTCCGTCCGTCTATCGCTCCCTCCTTCTGCTCTGCCGCCCCGCACGGCGCGTCCCGTTGCGACGTATACGGCGG